CGGCAAAACACCCGCGCGTCTGCGCATCAGGGGTGGAAAAGCGCCCGCGTGCTGTGCCGCGGCAAAACGCCCGCGCACCGTGCGGCAAAACACCTGTGCGTCTGCGCATCAGGGGTGGAAAAGCGCCCGCGTGCTGCGCCACGGCAAAACGCCCGCGCACTGTGCGGCAAAACACCCGCGCGCTGCGCGTCAGGGGCGGAAAAGTGCCCGTGTGCTGCGCGGCAGGGCAGCAAACTGCCCGCACGCCGCGCGTCAGGGGCAGAAAAACGCCTGTGGACCATGTGTCAGGGGCGGAAAAATGGCCGCAGACCACGTGTCAGGACGGAAAAATGGCCACGGACCATGTGGCACGGGCGGAAAATGGCTCGTAAGTCGAGGCGAGTTTGTAAGTAGAGGTTAATTTTTGGGGCCGGAGCTGGTCGTATCTCGAAGATTTCGTAAGTAGGGGCGTTCGTAAGTAGAGGTTCCACTGTATATGCAAAGCTTGTTTGTCTACTTGGTGTGGGCAAAATAAATGCAAATGTTATGTTAAATGTATTAAGACTTCTATTAAAAGATAGCAAATTTTGGACTGCCTGGAGGCCTAACAATTGCTAAAATAATGGCCATTCACAAAGGCACAGAAGCAGAGACTTCACATTGTTAAAGCCTGAATTACTATACTGAGAGGATGTCATTTTATACAATAAACATGAATTGTGGAGTCCTTGGGGTTCTCTTAGCTTGGCTGTTTTCTTGCAAACGTTTCATTACCTGGCTAGGTAACATCTTCAGTGCTAGAATGGATTGGGGTTTGCTCTCTGTTTATATACAGTAGCTTGCCCTGCCTGTGTTGGTGGTTCCCCCCCCCCGCCCCTTTCTGGTAGTTCCTTGATTAGGGTATTGTTTACTGCTTGATTGTATGTCTGGTGATAATCTTGGTGTTAATCTCTGCTTATCTGGGTGATGATTGCTGGTGAGGAAATGCTCTTTTGTTTCCCTTTTTATTGATTCTTTTGAATAGTGTGTAGATGTTGTTTATTATGGGCCTGTTGATGGCTGCCTTGTCTGAATACCAAGCTTCCAGGAATTCCCTCACATTTTTGGATTGAGCATTTTTGGATTTAAAGATGAATAAATTGTTTATACATCTTATAGACATACATATCCATAATGTCACAAACTAGTTTTTAAGTTATTCAACCTTTTGCTTCCTAATAAAATGTACAACGTGTTTGCACATTGTGAGCAGTTTCAAGATTCCGCTTATTCCTAGATTCCTTTTAAGTACTGGTTGACACTGAACTGTTGCAGCTGGTATCAGAAGCAGGTTAACCTTACATTGCAAACAGGACAGGCTAAAAATAAACATCAATTCACATGTAACATAGCATATTGCATAAAGTAATTCAGCAGGATTAGTGATGCAACCAAGTACACGTTTAATGTACTTTGGAATTAGCAAAATCATGCTAGTCCCAACTCCTGTACCGCATTCATCTCTCTGAATAGAAAGGCTATTTGTTTTATTAAGTCATATAGATGAATCTTAGATATCCCTACCTTGTGGACTGTGTGTCTGGAAAGACCATATCTAGACCCTTCTTCCACAAGAATACAAGTAATTACATTTGCAGATGAAAATTCAGTGATGCGTATGTAGATGTCTGACCCGAGACTCTTACTCTCACTTTCTTCAACCTCTAAAAGAACTGTGAATGGCATGACAGTTTTGCATATGGAGAGCTTTTTAAAGCCACTTTTCCTTCTCACTGCATAAATGCCTCTCTTCTCCATGCCCCTTCCTTGCAATTTTAAGTGTACTTTTTAACAGCGTAGATATATGAGGCCAGGTTCTTTGACATAGGTCTTTTTGTGCAAAGTATAATCATGGGGGGGGGGGGGAGACCATCACTCTCTAGACCAGAGCTGTCCAGCAGGAGTCCTCCAATTCCAACATCGCCAACCTTTAGATGTGGTTTATACACTGCTTCTAATAGTTACCAGCAAATTGTTAATGTGCCAGAAAAAGTAATTAAATATATGAACAGTAATCATGTTAACTACAGAACTGAATACGCTCATTGATTTTATTTTAATAGGGCCTCCAACAGCTCAGCCAAGAGGTCAAGTGTAGCCCTAAGACTGTGATTACATAACCTAAGCCTGCATAATATTCTTTCTGTCCATCTTAGTAAGTTTAAGAAACTGCTGACTTGAATTTCACAATAGCCAGCATTCCCCTGTCCTATCTATGTTTAAATTTAGCTCAATTAAAAGATTTATATTAACCCCAAAGCCTATTTTTTGGTGCTTTTTTTAAGGCCCTTGTGCTACTATAGTAGTTAGCAGTTATTTCTTTTAATCATTACATTTGTCTGTGCCTTTTTCTGCTGAGGCATTGGTTGCAGTACATAATTAACATGAGGGTTTTACATACCTAAACATTTGTAACAGTTAATTGTGGTGATGTTTTATGTCCCGTACTATTACAAGTTTCAGGGCAGAACATGGCTACTGGGGCTGTTTGACTCAAAATTTACTATACATGACTAGTTTGAGAATCCATACCATCAGGTGAAACAGCAGCAGTGCAAATGCTATTGAGATATATCATGAGACTGCTCTTATAAATATTATAAACAAGCTGATTAGAATCTTACAGGGGTATATTTATTTATACATGTCACAAAGTTATTGCAAACCATGTGCAAGGCATTACAACATGCACATTCTGAAGGATCAGATCAAAAGTTTATCTACTTTCTAAATCCATTTGGGAATCCTAAAAGCTGGAGATAAATTTAATACACTTCTGACTACGGTGATATTCCAAAGGAGAGTCCCTCAGGTCTCAGAGGTGCCCCATGCTTATGGGAACAGCAGCTGGGAGCATTATCCTCCATTAATTTCTTACATCCTGTTATATTGATGATCCCAGCTACCTCTGATGAATTCCACAGGAAGCAACGATTATGCATAAATGTGCTATCCAGGGAGACAATTATTTAGAATAAAGTGTTCCTTAATTCTGATCTTCCATTAACCTTGTCCATAGGAAATTATACACAGGGGAAAAAGTACACACAAAATCTCTATGGCCTTCCTGACTTTTTGCACCGGTGCAGTGGTTAAAAACCTAACAGCTCTGCGTCGAGGTGTTTTTTTCAGAAATGCAGAAATGCAAACCGCAGATTTCGGCGAAGCGCAGCCACTCCACGCCCACCGGCCCAGCGCAGGGCCTTTGAAACGGCTTTGCGCACTCACCGCGTTGGATAGGATCTCCTGCCTGCGGGGAGAGCCGCTCGCCAGCACCACCCTTTTGTTGACCAGCTTCCTAATGACCGGGTTGAGCACCATGGCGGCAGCCGTCGGGGAGGCGGCTTTGCAAAAGGCCGGGGCGCGAGCAAAGGCCAGGGCAGCCAGGCGGCCGGCGGAGAACGACCCTGGCCGCGGAGGGGCGGAGTCCGAAGAAG